CATAACAAAAGGCTGGCTTTTCCCAGCCACTGTCCAGACCTGCCACTGGGCCAATGATCCCGTATGCTAATAACGTTTCGAACAGCCACCGAGTCTGAACACACAAAGGTTCCTTGCTATAAAGTGTACCAACCGTAAGGGGTCTATTATTGCTGTTCCGTCATGGACAAATGACATGGACATGCCATGGAGTACCACTGGAAGAGTTCTGGCGCGAACTTTTATTTGGGCAGTAACTGCATGCCTTGTATCAATGCACGCATGCTATTCAGGTAAACTGAAACGGCCCTTTTGTCTGCTTTTTCAATGAAACTCATCGTTACGTTTAACCGTTCGCTGCGAATGCGATTCTCAACTTTTATGGAAAGGCCTTATCACACGACAAACCCATCCATGTACATGTACATGATGCCGTTATGGTATTCAGTTTGCAAGGAAACCCCAACAACACTCTTTTTATGTTCAACCTATTTCACTGTTTTCTTTATTCCTAGTAAAATGTGTAAAAACACCACTGCCAAAAATTAAAAAAAAAAGTCAAGTTTGGTGTTTCATCTTTTGAACTCTGGTTTCTTTTTTGGGTATCAGAGTCAAATTTTTAAAATTGCGGAAAGTCAATTAAATAAAATTAACGTAATAATGTCCAAGTCAAAAAACATGTATAAAACTTACAGGGAAAAATGAAATATTCCAAAATCGATATAAAATAAGGCGATGATGTCATCATGACGTCATAAATTAGGCAATGATTTTGAATCATGGTCTTTGCCGGCTGTAACTTTGATGACGAATGGAGATCGCCACGTAACCTAAATTTTGCCTTGAAAATGTGTACAAAGTCAATGGGCTGAAATAAATATTGAAAAATCAATAATAAATTGCTTGATGACATCATCATGATGTCATTGTTCTAGGCACATCTTTGAACTAAGGTCCTTCAATGATGTAAGTTTGATGAAGATCCGGAATTGCAAAAGGACCAAAGTTGATGGTGGAAAAAACGTGCAACAAATGGGCTTTTGGTCCGAAGAGGAAGAAGAAAAAACTAGAGGTTTTGTATGTCTTGAGGACAGAGCAAAGGGCTTTTTAGCATTTTATATTTTCCTTAAGAAAAGGACACTCCTTCATTTGAGACATCACCTCATTTGGATTTCTCTTACTCAAAAATCTATCCAAGAGTTCCCAAAGTCTCCAATGATGTTTTGGGTGACCTCATTATAACAAATATTCGGACATAAGGAGATACAACGATTAAACTTTGCACCCTTTACATCATGTCACCTTGTCTATGACACTTCCCATTTTAGCTATCTACCAAATTTCAGCCCAATCATACATGTAGTGCAGGAGATATAGGGCTGTAAAGAATGTACCTTTAATGTCATGACTAGTCACATAACGAAGTCCTTACCACATCAGGTCAATATTTGTCTAAAACTCCTCCTTTTCAAGAGATCTGCAAGGTTTGAACCTAATCGAATATGTACTTCACGAGATACATGTATAGTGCTTTGAAGAGTGCAGCTTTAATGTCACGTGACTTGTCTTCTGACGATGTCGTCGTCCTAAGTCCTCCCCTCTCAAGATAAATGCAAGGTTTGAACCCAGTTGGACAAGTAATTTACAAGATACATTGCTTGAAAGAGTACACGTTTAATGTCATTTAACTGGTCTAATGATGATGTCATTATCACATGAGGTCAATTTTTGTCTATTTTTGTCTGTGTTTTTGGAGATATAAGGTTTTGAAGTTTGCTCCTTTAATGTCATGTCAGCTGACACCGTATGACGTCTTTATGACAATGTCCTTGGACCCTCTCTATCTGGGGGACAGAGTGCGCAAATAATAATACACAATCAATGAGATCAAGAAAATTGGCGGAGACTGGCTGTGGAACAAAAAACATACTTTAAACCTATTGCAAATATAAAATACCCGCAATCAGAAGGTGACGTCATCATGGCGTCATATTATTGGTGTTTGGTATCAGAGTACTTTGTTGGCTGTAACTTTGCTGACGATTGAAGATCGCCTTACCAAAATGATGCCCTGAAAACCTGTACAAAATCAATAGGCTAAAAACTTCGGCAGAAAAAGTGCTCCTTTAAGTTCATGTCACGTGATTTGCGTCTAAACTGAAGACAAATTATGAAGTATTATTTGATATTCTGACTTTTGGGTATATTTTTAATGGAATGGAAGGGAAAATTTAGTCTGATTTCTGTTTTCTCTGGTAGTAATTCTCGGTTGAAGTTGAGGACTACTCACTCATTAAGCTCGATAATTGTGTAGTGCGAAAACGTGTACAATCCCTATGGAGAAAAACTGCACCTTTAATCTCATGTCACGTGACCACTGATGATGTCATGATGACACACGTGTTCTGGGACCCTCTTTAAATGGTGGGATATGAGTGTGCACAAACCAGAAATCAGTTAGATTGACCAGTGTCCCAAAGTGTGCCTGTTGAAAAATGTGTACAAACCTATGGGGCAAAAAAAAATTCAAAAATCAATATGAAATAAGGTGATGACGTAATCATGATGTCATAACTTTGGTAATGATATTGCATCAGGGTCTTTGCCGGCTGTTACTTTAATGAAAAATGAATATCGCCAAGTACCCAAAATCCTGCCACGTGACTTGTCTCCTGACTTGTCATCATCACATAAGTTCTATATTACTGTAAACCACTCAGTTATCAGGATATCTGCAAGATTTCAACCCGATTGGCCATATACATGTACTTTAGGAGATATCGGGCCTTAAAGGTTGCACCTTTAATGTCACGTGACTTACGTACATGTCTCCTGATGACGTCACCATCACATGAGGTTCATATTTCTATAAAGTACTCTTTTCAAGACATCTGCAAAATTTGAACCTGATGGGACATCTACTTCAGGCCCTAAAGAGTGCACATTTAACGTCATGTGACTAATTCCCTGATGGCGTCATCAGCACAGGAGGTCTACCTTCGTCTGTAACACTTTCCTTTCTAGTTATCTGCAAAAATTCAACCAGATAGGATAAGTCCTTTGGAGATAAATGGCTTTGAAGTTTACAGATTACAGGTTTAAAGTGAACTAACAGCTCAACAATTCCATCAGGTGATAGTTCAGTGTAAATAGCAAACAGATTAGCCATTAGGGTCTACACTCACGGACAAATGAAAATACCAGTTAACAAATAAGGCAAATAAAACTAATGACAATGGTATATGTACTGTCTTTTTCCCAAATCCGGAGTTTTCCCAGTCTCGGATCGCTTGAGAGGAAAAGCCAAGTTTTAGAAACTGTTATCTGATATCACATTTTCGCCAGGACGTGTGCTGTTTTGGAAGATGAAATGTCAGCTTCTCTTTTGTACAAATTACATTTCCGAAATTTTTAGAAGAAGAATTTCGGCCCGATATCGCAATCACACATACAAAAAAGTTCGAATGAAGGCAGAATGTCACTTACTGTGTGTGATTCACATGGAATGCATAACACATGAAAATGTATAAATTCTGTTTTCATTAATTTTATTGAACATTCTCCGAAAGCTGAATGTTTTATTTTCCTTATTTGTAGCATGTTCAAGTATGAACGTGCACATGGCAACCTCAACTACACGTACAAACTGGATTCTGATGTGACCTAGTGGGCTTTAACATAGCGCGGCAATCAGGGATGGACTTGTGATCGGCAGCTCCTTTGCTGCGCAGCTGAAATAAAAGTCGGATTAAACTTACGCAAGTTTGAGTCCTAATTTTCAAGAATTCTGGCTAACAAAGTTATTTTCAGTAAGTAAAGAAACTCTTCGTTAGAAAATCAGCTTCTTGTAGGGAAAATGATTTTTTTCGCTTAATTACTTTACATTCTCGACAAATTTTTTGAAGCGGTCCAAAAGTGGTTTATAAACCGTTCAACTTAAACAAAAGTGTCGTCGTCACATTCATCAACCCTGTAAGTTAAATTAAATGTTTGAATTTTTCACTCACTACAAAATAGTTGTCTCGCCTGTTCACAAAGTGAAATATTGACCACATTTCACTGAAATTTGAGAATTATTTGAACTGCAATGATCCAAAATTAGGAAAATGACTGCAGCCAGTTCAGCATAATATTTACATTGCTCTACACGGTTTGCTGTTTATAGTAGGCTTTCCAAGAGCTTTAAACATGTTTTAACAGTATCTGGCCTGTACTACTATCGTGTCCTGTGTCCATCTAGCAACGCTACTGGTTATGGAAGGATTCAATAGCGTATTCCATGGTCATTAAATAATGCTGAAAACTCAAGCAAACAAGACATCGTGCAACATGCCAATAAAGTGCTGGTAATGGCATTCCACTGCTGGGCAAGGTTTGCGTTTTTATAACCTGTTGTTAATCCCCATTGTATCCAACACTGTGGGTAATCTACCCTATATAATCTACCCTACATGATGTGGGGCACAGTATGTCCACAGACGAAGTATTTCTTTTAATTTGAGCAGTACTCTATACCACTGTTTGTGGCATTCAGTGCAGGCGGATTACCACAGGGGCAAAAGCACTCCAGTGATGAGCGATACAATACCGCTGCATGCTAATCTTGCCCCTATTTTGAAAAGACAACAGCAGCACACTGTGCCAGTTTGGGGAACAAAAGAAACTTATGTAACACCACACAATCTGGGCTCTTTTTACGAGGCGACAGGCCTGGCTGAAATACTCAGGCATCAATAGATGTCTGTCAGATTAGAATAGACACTAGACAGTCACTCATGGGGTTGAGGCATTCAGGAAAAAAGATAAGAGTTTTTGAGAACCGAAGATATTGAAAAATCGCCCGTATGTTGGCACTGTATTTGTAAAAGCACCTGGCAGCAAATGACTAAGTCATTCCGGATATAATATTTGATGCACAGAACATGTATGAAAATTTTCTGACTCTACTGAGGTTGAACAACACTGTCAATTCATATGCTAAGTGTTGACCAAGTTGTTGAATTTTTGTATGTACCCATTAGATGAAGGCAAGTTATATACGTTTGGAGAGAATGAGTTTGGAAAGCTTGGACTGAATGATGATAGTGATAACAGCAATACACCGCAGAACGTCAGTCTAATCAAAGAGAGAGTCAGTCGAGTGTCATGTGGGAATAGTCACACTGCTGCAGTTACAGGTTGGTGTCATATTGCAACATGGTGAAAGAAGGCATACCCTGGCTCTTGTATATATGATGATTGGCCTTTGTGTGTTGCCAAGAAATGAAAAGGCCAAATTTGCATCATAATCACCAGCTTCACAATAGTCCCCACTTTGAAAAGAGGCAACGGGAATGTGGAAGTGTAAGTAGAACTGCATGCCACCGAACAATGAGCGTTTTCATTGTGTAAATCAGAGCACGCAGGGCCACACACCGAGAATTTGCAGTTTGGCAGGTGACCTTCGTGGTCAAGCGAGGCTGGAATTCTCGGAGTCGGCTTTCAGAAAAAAGCCCCAACGTCAAGGGGTTAAAGGTTAACAGAAATTGAAAACATTTTCATGTGAAGTATTTCAAAATAACAATAAATGCATAACCAATTCAAAAACATCATAAATTCAGTGTTTACCCAATAATTGTGACCCCAAAATGTACCTGCTTTCCCCTCCAAAAAAAATCCCCTTTGGGCCGTTCGCGCTCCCAGGCTGATTTGATGACGTCATCGGCAGAACACCTACATGTGCAGTGTACATGTACATTGCATGATTGCATGCAGTATCGCACGCTTGGGCGATAGACCATGTTGTGTTCGATGTACATGTAGCTTGGCCCACAGGCAAACATTGTCTCAGTTCAAGAAATACATGGCAGGACTCTGTCTTGTAAACTCTTTCTGGAACTTAGACAGTGTTGCCTGTAGGCCAAGCTACATACTATGTACTGTGTGCAATCAGGCAATTTACACTTACACTGTACATGTACATGTAGGTGTTCTGCCAATGACATCATCAAATCAGCCTGGGAGCATGAACGGCCAAAAAGGGTTTTTATGTGGGCAGGGAAATGTAGGATCTTTTTATTCATTTGGGGGTCAGGACTAATGGGGTAAACATTGAATTTATGATGATTTTGAAATTATTACATATTTATTTTATTTTAAAATACTTAAAAATGTTTTCACTTTCTGTTAACCTTTAATTTTAGAATTTTGTAAACACAAACCAGCATGTAGCTGAATTGATTTCCAGTCAGAATGGTAATAACTACCTTGAGCATAAAATTACCATATTCTTTTTAATCTTTTACTTATTTTCTTGACTGAATGGAAAAATAATTTATCATTTATTTTGGCCTCCAAATAACAGCCCATGCAGTATGCTACATGTAATTATGCAGTTTAGAGGAAATTTGGAATTTATATTTGTGTCACTGGTTTGCTTGCTGCTTATGTACATGTACATTCAGCTACAGCGTAGGCATAGCATATGCATGATAGTGACACTGCACTACAGCAGCATCACAGTATGCTGTCAATGGTGCTTGCTTAAATCACACATTTAAGTGTTGCTACAGTCACTAAATAAAAAGACAATGAAGGTAGTAAGGAACTACATTTAGACCTACCAGTATATTTGCTTAGTTTTTTAATGATCAACTAATAAGTAGTAATTTTGTGGAGTGTAATATTTGGGAAATGCCATTCAGCAAAGGCTTGGTTTCTTTTCGTAGATAATGGTGATGTATATACATGGGGAGATGGCAGCTCTGGTCAACTAGGTCATGGTCCATCCATTTTGGGACTTAAAATACCTCAGAAGATTATGAAGCTGTCTAGAAGGAACTGTAGGGATGTTGAATGTGGAGAGAGTCACACTGCAGTCATCACAGGTGAAGACTTGATATCTTATTTCAGAAAGCAAGTTTGATATGACAATAAGACATTCTGGGTGTACAGTGTATGTGCAAAATTCTGTTGTACTTTTTCTCTTTGTCCAAGAGCAAAGACACATTTGTCAGACCAGTGTTATTAGCTCTTACATGGTTATTACAACTTGAAACAAAAATGTCATGTATCTTTTTAAATTTATCTCTTTGGACTACCTTCATTATTATGCCCTTAGTTGTAAAAATGAACTTATTAATAAGTATTTAGCACCATTTTTGTATTGTACATGTACCTGCTAGCATTGGTTACACTTTTTATCAAAGTGATTTTACTTCACACACCCACTCAGTTCTATTGATGTAATGGTAAAACGGGCAACAAATACAGCGTAGTTTAAGTTCTAGGTATAAAAGAATAGACACAAACATTTTAGGGAAATGGGAAACATGTCATTGTACCAACAGCCGCTTTCATCATGTTCATGAAACTCTCCGTAGTGAGTGAACTTCATTTGTGTCAAATTTTTAAAATAATGTGCAACTAATAGTTGCACAACTTCTAACACATTTCTTGAAAGTTACACAGTGCATAAGTCCATGACTTGCACAGCAAGTTATAGTGTAAGTTACACAGTCATTTTACACATGTAGCCTGCTCACCGGTCTTCCGCACGGTACAATTCATCGTTTGCAACTTGTACAGAACGCTGCCGCACGTCTTCAACGAGCACCAAAAGAACAGCTCACATAACTCCCATTCTCAACAAACTACATTGGTTACCCATCAAATGCAGAATTCAGTTCAAGATCCTCCTTCTCACATTCAAGATACTCCACGGCTCTAGTCCCCTTTATCTTGCAAACATGCTGCAACTCCGCTCTGTCAGGCCGGGTCTGAGGTCAACAAGTAATACCCTAGTTGTTCCCCGGACTCGGCTGGCCAGTGCCGGAGACAGGGCTTTTTCTACAATTGCACCAGGCTTATGGAACTCACTCCCGGATAATCTAAGACAAGAACATGACATCAAGCAATTTCAGCATCATCTCAAAACATTCTTCTTCTTCTCACAAGCTTTTTCACTTTGAATGCACAATTGACTTTTTCATTTTTCCACCTAGACCGGCGCCTCTGAATGCTTTGCAGATATAGTGCGCCTTATAAATGCTTTATTATTATTATTATTATGTACATGTACATAGCATATAAAATCAGTTAACATCATGTACTATGTTAGCCAAAAAAAATACCACATAATATTCACTTACTTATCCATGTACATGTACTTCAACCTTCAAGTTTGAAACTGGACAAGTGCACTTTCCTGAAGAATCCTGGAGATGGTTATCAAATGCTTTTTGCAAAGTGTCCTCAAGTGGCTCTTGCTGAAATGGCAAACGTTACATTTTACTCTCAACTAATGTCTCTTTTTATCAAGCTGCTAAAATTAGCAGTACATAAAAAATCATCATCACTGTTGGCCTTACCTATTGTTTGAAAATATTTCAAGTTTCTTGTTAAAACACTGTGCAGTGGGGTCTGTTGATAGAGTTTTTGATGATTGATACACAGTGGAACGCTGCTACATGTGCCGGTATAATGAACACACCTACATGTACATGTACACAATGTATATCTAACATTCAGAAATACCGAACATGCCCCTCGCCTCCCATTTTGTGTGCACTACCGAACATTATCAATTTTTTTTTAATAAAACAATCTCTTAGAACTGTTGATAACTCAAACTTGAGGAAAACCGTACTCACAATGGAACAATGCCCATCCTGTGGTATGGTCTGTACATGTATGTATCATTCATGGATAGCCTACATTGCATGTAATGTGCATGTGTCCACAGGTGGCCAGGTAGACTGACAGCCGAGTATGTGTACGCAACACTGGTGACTCTGGTGTGGAAAAGTTTGAATAATAATCACTACAAAACTGGGAGATGTGACCTCAAACCATCACCAGAACATCTGCAGAGATGCAAGAGGTTGTTATGTACATGTACATGTACCGTAAATCCACACAAATCTTCGATAAATATCCAGAGTTTTGAAAAAATGCTTACCCATTTGTTGCTGACTTCAGATGTATATGCATCTCCAGTTCTAGTATTAGAACGTTTCCTATCACAGCACCTTTATTTAAGTGGAACTAGTGTAACCATGCTACATGTCACATGTGAGGTTTATAGCAGTGTTGTAGTCGAGTACTTTTTTCTGAGTACCAAGTATTGCCGAGTACTTTGACTGCCGAGTACAAAGATAGGTCGAGTACTTTGCCAGCCGAGTACAAGTACTGGTTTCCAAGTACAAGTACTTGCACTTCCGAGTACAAGTACAAGTACAAGTACTTCTAATTCCAAGTACGAGTACAAGTACCGGTACTTCTAATTCAAAAGTAGTTTTATCTTAATTTAGAGACTCTAAGACCTGCCACTGAGTAAAAGAAACACCGAATGCAGATGACATGGCTGCAAGAACAAGTGATCTGGCTAGAAATGTCACGGTCACTATGCGTTCATTGCAGCAGTTGACACAACGTGCACAGCACGGCGAAGTCCATTTTCCCGACTCAATTATTCATATACCCGTGATTTTCTGTATGCTGGGTTCATCGTTAAAATTTTCGGGTCCAGGAACCAGACTACCAATGCCCAAGTAAATCACTGGACCATTCTGGAGTACCACAATATAATTTGCGTACGTGATTGGTTAAGTATGCGCACAGACGGCGAATGGGTGGTATACGTTAATGGTCCCACGTTTGGCCTTCTTATTGTCAGAACCGTATCGAATATCGGGTCATTGGGGTCGATATTTTTGTACCTTATTTTAACGGCCGTGGTAAGTTAACTTAAAGGATTTTTTAATCGAGTACTTTTAATCGAGTACGAGTACTTTGATGCTGGAGTACAAGTTTTGGATGTTGAGTTCCGAGGATTTTGTAGCCCGAGTACAAGAACTGTAGTTCGAGTACAAGTACTTGGACATCCGAGTACAAGTACGAGTATTCTGAAAACGGTAGTACGAGTAGTACTCGAGTACGAGTACGAGTACTACAACACTGGTTTATAAGCAATGAGAAAACTTGATTTTATTTCACAAATCTACTTCCAGTGATGAACATAGATGTACATTTAACAAAATGCATGAATTTCATCATTTTTTGTTATTTTTAACTTTATTTTTTTGTGTGTATTTGTTGGCCAAAATTCTCATACTGAAACTTTTGTGGACAGGCATTTGCACACATTTAAATTGGGCTAGGGTTTGGAATGAAAGTGTGTCCGTGACTGAAAACTACTATACCAAACAATCATAACACTGAACATTTCGTGTAGACCTGCTACATGTTCGTTACAGTAGCATTCCACTGTATTAGAAATACAGTATCAAGCTGTGCAATATATATTAAACTTGCTGTACCAATCTATTGTTATACTAAACATTTTGTGTGGACCGCGCCATGTTTGTTGCAGTGGCATTCCACTGTATTAGAAATACAATATCAAGCTGTGCAATACTGTGTATCAAATTTTCCCCATGTACACGTATACAAATACAGTAAACTGTCATTAACTCAAACCGGAACTGCTCAGAACTCTGTTTTCTACTAATGCACCCTCCACAGTGTTCTCCACAAGCCCGCTAAAGTTTTGCCACCTCACCAAAATTCTCACTGCCCTGCTATTTCTTCTGTTGGATTTCCCTGTTCTCCACCATCTTCACAGCTTATCTAAATGCAAAGAAGTTTACCGCACTTTAGGGAGTGAACATTATGAGTTTGCCATCATTATTCAACACAACAGTACGGCACTCTCCAGCATTTGTGATTAAAGCCAGATGCAATATAGAATAAGTACATGTACGTAAGCACAAATTCTAGACAGGTTCCAATCTCCCAGTCACAGCATTTTCATTTTGTCACATCAAGAGCCAATACCTCAAATGAATTTTTTTCTTGGAAAATGCAGCCTATTTCCTACATGTAGTTTCGGATTTTTCCAGATCCAGATCGTTCGAAATAAAACTTCTTTTCTTCAGCTTCTAGAACTACTTCTTTGTGTTCTACGTGTACATTCTCAAACAAGTTCAGTTAAAGGTAAAATATAAGCTTCTTGTACAAAATTCTGAAAATGTAAAGAAAAGAAATTTTCTACCAGCTACTTTTCTGTTGCGAACTTTGACATTTTTGAACGGTTTGGTGATGGGTTATTCTGTACGTGTGACTCCAAATACATGTACTTTAACCACTTTATGCTTGTTGATGATGCCGAGCCGGCATGACTATCATTTTTTCCGTTTTCAAAATCCTTCAAAAATTCATCATTTTATTTGACGATCGTTTATAGCCGCACGAAGTAATCTTTAGGCACTACTCTAAGTTGACAGGTGACCTTCATTGACACCCAAGTATATCAGCCAGGCCTGCAGCCTTGTAAACAGAGCCGAGATTGTGCGGTGTTGTATAACTGTCTTTTGTTTATGAACCTGGCTCAGTGCACTGCTGACCTCTTTTCAATAGGGGCCAGATTAGCTCGTAGCGATACTGTGTGGCTCATCACTGCAGTGGTGGAGCGCTTTTGTCCCCGGTGGTAATCCGCTGGCTCTAAATGCCCCAAACCCTGGTATACGGTTTCAAAACAAGGCTGGATTATCACCACTTTGAGAGTGAAAAATTTTGGTTTGTCTTTTGTTCGCAGTACGGTCTTTTGTTACAGGGCCCTGTTTCCTTTGTCCGAGTTCAGAGACCGCGGCCATGCATATAAACCGTACGTCTCCGATTCCGGAGTCCCCGGCAGGAAGTGGTTAACAGTCCTATACACTTTAGCATCTAATGTATGGTTAATCAAAATGACTTTTTTTTTTTTAATAAATTGGCCAAAAACAAAATGCACATTTTTTCCAATTTGTGGATTACACTGTTAAATGCACGCACGTACAGTGCAAACTCAACTACACGGGCTTAACAGAAATGTACATGTGCATGACATAATGGGTTTGTCAACTGTGCAGCACGGGGGAAAGTCGCTGATTGCTTGCAGTACAGATAAAAAAGTCTACAAATTTTTTTTTTTAATTCACTGAATTTATTATCTATAAACACATTTTCTCGAAATCAAGAAAAAAAAAGCCGACTTTTTACATGAGGAAAAAATTGTTGCTATTCGGAACTGGTTAAACCGATTCAGAACTAGAAAAGGTGTTGTCGCTTTTGACAGTCAGGTAAGCTTAAATTAAAAGCTTAGACTTTGAAAGTAATTTTGTAGTTTTTTCCAAAACTATATGTACTTGTCCACATCATCCACTCGTGCTGTGCCCACTATGACATTTGTACATGTAACCTCAACCCATCTGCCCGTTAATAAGTTCTGATAGGTAAAAAAAATTAAAAAGCCCCCTCCCCTAAAACAAACTTTTGATGACCCCCCACCGATAACAATCCTGCCTTTATTTCAAATCATTACCATGAGCAAATTTGATTCAAGGAGTCATAAGAAAGTGCCCTGGAAATACCTCAAATTGCACCACAGAGCATCTAGAATCCAAAATTTCCCCGGGCCTTTGAGTGGGCCCCAGACCCCACGCCATATGGCTTCACGTTCCGTGCTCGCATTGTGAGCCGCCCTGCTGTAATTTCATGTTGTGTAGAACACTGAGAATGCCGTGATGATAGGATATTTTGTTCATGAATACTTTCTGAACTCAAAATGCTCACATGGTACCTTTATTTTGTTTGACTAAAATGAAAGAAGCCATCACTGAACCATCACAAATGAGTAAACAGATCGTAAATCTTTTTCATTAGTCAGTACTCTCCATTATACTTTGCCCTTTCATGTCATGCTGGGTTACCATGTGCACACATTGGACTCTTTCAGAGATGTAAGAATTCATTGTACTAAAGAGATCAATGCTCATGAGCCAATGGAAAAATTTACTTGCTATGTTCAGCCATTCAGCAAATGAGAAAATTTGTGATGCACTTTGGAGTACTCTGAATGGACATTTGAGCAGCTTATGTGTTCAAGATTTCCAAGCTTAAACTCAGTAGCAGCAGTAGAGACCATGAATATGGATCAGATGTTGGTGTTAATGATTTTGCGGTGTTTTTATTTCTAGTGACATGCGCAATATAATGCACTGTTCAATTATCATTGCAAAGCAAAATCAGTGTTAACACTGACTCCAACTGGAGATTCATTTTTCCAAGAATCTGACTTGCTTTACCTCTTCTTGATATCACTCCCAATATCGAGATATTTAATGTTTTGATAAGATTAAAAATTTGATTTCAGCAATGTCGATTTTGATATGATGTTGTATAATCAGGAATGTTGATATATTGACTGACCCTACTGTGCAGTACGATAGAGGCAATGTAATATTATTGACTGTTGTTGCAGATAGTGGTTCTCTATACATGTGTGGGGATGGCAGACATGGCAAGCTGTGTCAAGGAGATGAAAGCTTTAGCAATCTCTTCCATCCAGCTAAAGTCAAAAGGTTCAAGGGTTTTTATGTTGAGCAGGTAGGTCAGAGTGCCGAGCCTGTTACAGCCTGTTGCTAATTCTATTATACCAACTTAAAGAGGTTGATGGACAGAAAATGTATGTATAACCATGTAGTTATTTCAACCATCTATACGTGTACATGTAATTTTAGCTGCATTTGTATATGGATTAGTTTGACTTTTGGATTAGAGTTAATAAGAAAAAGAAAACACTTCGGAAAATAACCAACCAGTACCAGGAATTTCTAACAATTACAAAGAAAAGTCTGTGTACATTTGCACTCACCAGTAGTTATGATTCTATTCCACAAAAAAGCACAGAAAGTTTTCTCACCTAGGCCTGGATTTCTTTTATATAATGCATCACCTTTTATGAGCAGGAACTGATCAGATCGGGTCTCCAAAACGTAATGGAAAATAATGCCATAAGGTGACTTGTAAACTTGACCAAGTTGACATGTACATGTATAAGAATAACCCTGGTATGTTGGTTATGCTTTTAAAGTATCTGACATGAGCATGTAATTGTCCCTCTTCTGGCAAGGTTTCGTGTGGAGGGTGCCAGACTATAGTACGAGCAAGACGGAAGGACAAAGCCAATGGCGAGGTATCCTCCGACTCTGATGGTGAAACAGATCCTCTTAAGATGTCAAGCCAAATGAAGAAGGGTACATTAGCAGCACTAAGCAATGAGCAAGGTGTAGACTCAGTGGATCTAGGAGCGTCATTTGATGGTTCAGCAAGGGGTAGAAGGCGACAAAGAGAGGTTAGTAGCAAAAATGTTAGACGTTAGGATATGTGTAGACAACAGTGACAAAGCACAGGACTTGAGGAGTCATCAAGATTTGATTGAGATTGGTAAGATTATGGAAACATTTAAATTACTGTCAAGTGTTTAACAAATAATATTTGTTATTCATATTTTAGACATCACCACTACCACCACTAGCACGGACACTTCCTCCTCTGGGTTTATCTAAAGCAGGGGTATTGCCATCTCTCAATTCAACAATACCTGATGGTTCCAGTCGCAAACTAGATCAGAGACTAATACCTAACATTAAAAAGGAACTGAATGGTAAGCTGGTGAGATTTGATAGTGATGATCTACATGTAACTCCATGTTCTAAATTCTGAAGTAACCTAAAAAGTGCCAAAGGCATGCAACGGGATTGCAACTATATTTAGTACATGTATTTGCATTTCAGTCATTTCATGAGTTTCTTTTACATGTACATCATTAAATATGTGCCATGAGGTTGTGTTTGCTTTGCTTGTGTTAACAAGTACTGAAGTATGGTACAGTTGATTTGTTGTTGAGTTCATGAATTATGAATGCAAACTAAGAGACTCCTGAACTTGGGAAATCTGTCATGAATGTCACTTTGTAGTTGGCCTACATGTTGTAGGAATGCTGTCATTGTTGATGCACAAGAAGATGGTGGTGCTGAAAGACATAGGTGTCAGGAGTTTCCCGTTGTAACCACTAGAACAGTTCTTGTAAGGTATCTTTGTTTATGACTCCCAGAGGTACAGGTAAATGAAGAAATGATCACAAAGGAAGAAGTAAAGACTGCAGAAGCTGCTCCTAGACTAAACTTATTGAAGAACCTGGATGCTGACCCATTAGAATCTGTGAGTAGCTCATTCTTCTTGATTGGTAAAAGTGACAAGGTTTAACAGTTAGGTTAATACAACTGTATTTGCCCTGGGAGAAACACTGATATAACTGAGTGTCATGATTTCAGGCCGTTTAGTATACCCACAACAACAAGACAAGACAACAAATACAAAAATTTGGACAGTGTCCAATAAGCAATATAAATAAATCTTACAAAAAAAATTAATGTTTTAGCTGTACAAAATGCTTGCCAAAAACAACTTTTTTAAGAGTCACTACAAATTCAGGAAGAGTTTTTTACCTCCAATTCCTTGTACACTTTGATTTGTCATTTTGCATAAACCTTTCTTTTCAAATTAAAAAAAAATGATCTTGCATACGTAACCTGAAAATGCTACCTGCACATTTATGTTGTTTGAATTACCAGACACATTTCTCAGCAAGTAAATCTGTGCGAGAGCTCAAACCACTTCTTGATGCAGTGAATAGCAATGCTGAAACAGTGGTATGTATACATGTACATAGCTACACGTGGCTAATAAGCAGTGCCAGAAGTCAGTTACCTTCACAGTGCGGACTCAAGTTACTAATGAGGACTCGTACTGGAAGAATACACATTATGCAAAAATTCCTGAATTTCCTTGTGTAAAAGCAAACCTGTCTACATGTATGTTCAATGTCCTAATGTTTAACCCCTTAAAGACACCAGCACATTTGATAGAAACACTAAGGGAAACAAATCAGGTTTGTTTTGCTGACATCACAGGTCACAGGGAATGATATGAGAGAATAATGAACAACTATGAATCAGTGTAATGTGGGGTTTTGCATTGCTGAATCCATCAAAGGGACATGAATGTAGAGTATCTGCCAGTTATGTTGCTTTCAGCTGTTAACTAAAGATCTTGCTGCTAGAAATTACACTTATTATGATCATGTTTATTGTGGTGTTTTCATCAGAATTCTGGTTCAAGACCAGAGACGGAAGGCATGGATGAGGTTGACTCTGGAGTGCCACCAGGCAAAATGAAGGTTACCTTAGTTTTAGTTCTAAAGGGTTTTTTGCCCAATCTAACAGTGAGCCAGTTAAGCATTCCAAAAGTGCATGCCTAAAATGAATGACGAGGTAAGGGGAGAATTCGTTTTTAACTGGCGGTAACTTGAGATTGACCCCTAGGTACCTCAGGGCTTTTCATGGTACCACCAGGGGTTCTCTATGATGAATTCACTATCTTTGGGTCAATGCACACCAAGTATTCTGGTCATCAGAACCTGGATGGTTCCTCTGGCTACAAACGCAAACAACAGAAATGCTTGATTGCGCCCTAATCGCCTGTTAATCAGCAGTGTCCACAGGGACTTCAAAGGCCACTGCATTGCAAGGATTCTTTTGGGGAGGAACACTCAAAACGCGTACAGGTCCACAGTGTAACCTGTTGGACCTGGGACATTTAATGTATATATTATACTACTGTTGAATGATTGATAATTATTGAGAAACTTTTTGTATTAAACTATTACTTCCTTTTCTTTCCTTGCCCATGCATGTGAATTGTTGTAACTGCATGTAGGCCTGTATGTACTTGCCGTTTGGTACATTGAATGTAGATTGACTCGGTCCAGAGACCAAACCATGCACATCCAATGAGTACCATAATTTTAGGAAATAAGCCATAGCTTATACGTTGATGTTCATGCTGAAAGACGTCCCTGCCGCTCATACTCCGGTTGGCTCATATGGCAAGATTTGAAGAATGAAATCTAAATGCCCCACCATGCCCTGCCTCATGCATCGCTCAGCATAGCCCAAGCCGCTGGCTGCATCGGCCAGCCACACGGTTTGTCTTTCGTTGGTTGCCGTGTACACTCGTTCTTCTGATGTGTTTGAAATGAAGGAAACCAGTCCAGAGGGACAAAATAGACTTTTGAAAGTACCGTTCACACCTCACAAATCGTGTGATGCATCTGCTTGCTTTTTGTTTTTAAGGTTGTGTAATCCATGCTGTTTATTATTTCACTGGTCATTTTGTGACTGTTTAACCCTTTCATGCTGGGATTCTTTTGACCGCAACTGCTGGGCTATGGTATGCAGTCTCAGGGCGCTGTCCAGCAGCAGGCCCCGTTGCACCAGCAGCTGCATGGTGAATAGACTGTATGTGTGGTATGCACTAATCCTCACACAAAAGTGCAGCACTAGCAGTCCTCTGTTGCGAAGGGGTAAAAACAGAACAAAAGGAACTGCAGTATTGCTCACCCAGCAAGAACACTAATCCAGCCCACAAAATTGGTAATTTCGAGGGCTTGAGAAAGTTTAGGTTTAATGTCAACACTCGTTTATGCGCTGCTAGTAATAACACTGAAAGATGTCGTACTCAAAAGTGGTGGAACCCTAACGTTGGACACTTTGCTTTTTCACAGCTAACTTTATTGTATTTTTGTTTTTTTTTTTAGATTTTTCCTCCAATTTTACAAAAGGGGAAATTAACAAAAGTCCAGATATTCTGATTCATGACTCGACGTCATATACCTGCTACAAAGTTAGGTGACATTTTATTTGGCCCCATTTTCTCCTTTTTTTCTGAAGTGCAAAATGAACTCTTCAAATGCATCACATAAAGGTGCCACGTAATACTCTAAATATATGGCACTTCAGCAGTGCAAAGTGTGCAATGACTTAGACATGTTAACACATTGTAATAACACTGGAAGATGTTGTACCCGAAAGTGGTGGAACCCTAACACCACAGTGTTAACATGTTTACCGACTTTAGATTTTAATGTTCAAATTTTTGCTTGGCACGGCAATACTCCATGCAGCCTGTATTCCGAAAATTACAGAAAACACATAAGAACCTTTTATTCAACTTGGATCTTTTTATTCAGTATATATTCATGCCACACAGTGACAGTGAATCGTCTTTCCGATGGTTCTTCTCAACTCATCATTTCTGTTAATCCAGGAGAATGAAGGAAATAAACATTAAAAACAAGGACAGCAGAAACTGAAGAGAAATGAGTGATATTTCTTAGGAGACACTACAAAAAAGTATGTATATTTATCAGGCAATTTTGCATCAAGCACTTTCCAAATCTTTTTGGGCAATACCAGCATCTCCTAACAAATCTTTTAATCTTGAAATCTTGAAATCTTTTAATCCCATGTCAGTAGGCTTCCTATCTTCATTCAAAGGCCAAAACCTTTGTTTGCGCACGTGTCAGTCCAGGGCAGCACACAATAATGTAGGTCACTTGGTCTGAAACTTTCCACCAAAAAAGTCAATCTCAGTTGTTGTTTTACCGATTTCAACCGTTCAAAAAATGAAATGAATATCACAAGAATTTCAAAACCTACATGGCTGAGTCCCAAAGGTAGTTATTATCAACGCTGACAAGGGACACCACTAATCCTTTAATCCTCTGATTATACTGTAAAAGCAGCCTTTTGTTCGAGATGCTTTCCCCTTCCAACTCAACTCTTTTGTTGCAAACAACCATGGGAAATCTGAGCAGAAGTTGACCCGAATATTCATGAGTGTATTGTATTTGTGAATGGTGTCAAACCCCAAGTTACCCAGAGGTTCAACCCTGAGTTACCACCAGTTAAAAAGAGGAATTCTTCCCTTGTTCAGGAACAGCAATTTGTGCACCATTAGGTTTGCTTTATCAGTACAACTGTAAGCTTTGTTTTCGCCATGATCTTGCCTTTTTGAAATACTAAACTGGTTCATTGGTAAATTTCTTTTTGACTCTGCTAATCTGAGCATCAAACACCTTTTGTGTTAGCATTAAGACCTGTTAGATTCAGCAGACTGCACACTTTTCTGTTGTTAGACTTGTCATTTTCAGCCAGATGCTCTGCTAAAACCTAGGAGCTGTAGAATTTTGCTACAGTTTGCAGTTTTAACAAAGACTAGTATTAATTCCTTAATTTTGTTTTTCTACAGTGTTAGGATTGCATCTACTGACCACAGCATCGCGATTGGAATACTGTGTTACTTCTTTTTTACATGGTCCCTAAAATCCTTGCCAGTGTTCATTAAATGGGATCTTACTACATTGAGGGACACTATTATTCTCTGTTAAAGCACAAGCTTTCAGTGTCTTTGCTTGTAATAACAAATTCTTCCTCAACAGGACAATATCAAACCCGTGTCAAAGAAAGCCTCTGAAATTAATGCTGCAAAAACTGTTCCAAATAAGGAAACCGTAGATAGCCAATTAGCATCAACCTGCAAGTCTAACAAGCCCAAAAAACATGATTCTGGAACTGATTCAAATGATGATGAAAATGAAGATGGCGATGGTGACGATGACAATGAGGACATCAGTGATGATGATGATGATGATGACGACGAGGATGAAAACTCAGTTGATGTTAAGGCTGTTAGAAGACCAAATCCATTTGCTAAATTGTTGCAGGTACAGTAAACTGGTAAACCAGATATACTTGATGCATGTATTTAAATTGACCGGGACAACCACCCTTCCAGATTTTACTTGAACACTTTTGTACTACTAACGTGCTGTGTTTACAAGTCAACTCTCATTATTACAAACTCGGCAACAAGAAAATTCTGGTTATAACAAACACATCTTCAGTCCCTGCAAGAATGTGCACATTTTTATAGAGAGAAATTCTGTTCCAACAAAATTGCACGCTATGAATTTTTTGAAATGAAAGGTTTTGGCAGTGCCATTGCATTAAAAAAGTATTGTTATCGACCCACTTATAATGAGTGTTTCCAATCCCAGATCACAGCGTTTTAATACAGACCATATTTTAATGTAGAACTAGTTATCAATGGGTATCTTTTGTGTCAGTTGTTCATCTTACTGACGTAGAATTTATTCATGTGAAGAAACTAACTGGTTTGTAAGTGTATGGTGTCAGTCATTAAAGATGAACAATTATCTTTTTAGAATTGGCTTTTCAGTTTTTGAATTTTGGTAATATTTAGGCAAGGCCACTTTGACCTCAATTAAGGAAAATTCTAGAGGGTTAGGTATCAAGGCCAGATAATATCTGTAAAAGGGACGTGAAGGTTAAATGCCAATATTCATTTATCAAAAGCTTCTTAACAATCAGAACATACGCCACACATGCGTACACGTGCACGCATGCCTCGTACCGGACCTCAGTGCGAATCAATATTGATTGACACATACAAGCACTGAGAAAGAGAAAGTCAAGCAACTTTGCATGTAAATCTGCCACACATATACTCCTGCTGGAATGCGAGTATACAAATAGGAGCTTCATGCGTATACAGATATGATCAAAATACAATTCTCAGTGGGTTTGCAAGCATATGAAAATAGGAATATTGTGTTTTTAATAGGCTTATGGATGTTTGTGGGAAAAGGGCACAATGGCCAAAATATCAGCCAGAAATATAGGGCAACGCAAAACTGACCATGAAGTCGGGATTTTTTGTGGGGCACCTCAGCCAGTGAGAAGGACGATGATGGCGCTGGCCATCGTGACCCTTGTTCATTTCAAGGCCTGGCTTTTTCTGTGGTAATTTTTAACTTACTGTCAGCTTTAAAAATTAAAAAAAAGACAGCCCCCCCCCAAAAAAACAATGCCCAGTAACAAATTCGTTCCTTTCCCTTGTCAGATTTAAAGAAAAAAGTTTGCAAATAAAACGCTCTCTCTGACAATCTTTTAGGAAGATAAAGTAGAATTCACTCAAATCCAAAGCTGACAATAAATATTGAAACCATGACAAACCTACATGTATGTACATGCATAACTGGACTTGCTTTGAATTGATTGCCCAATGCTGAAGCATTCATATTAATAAGCATTGCGGGTAAAAATGGGTGCACCCACCAATTAGCATGTGAAGGGGTATGACATTCATTTTGCCCAATGTAACTATCCAACCATCTCAAAGAGACACTTAATATAAGCTTTGACAATCAGTCAGCCCATGAGGCTACCTACCCGAAGACAATGTCACACAAACAGTAAAGTAGAAATGTTTCACTGTGATACAATTTGTGAAGGAAAGACTTCTCATGTGAATTGAATCCATTCGATGAACAGTGTTTATATTCTTGCTGCTAATTGTTTCATGTGTTGATATCATTCTTATGCATTATCACCCACAGTCAACTTCCTTTTTGCTTTTACTTCCTTTTTGTCTTACATGTGTATCACATAAGATTTATTGATTTTTTTTTTAAATTTTGCTCTCTAATTAACTGGAGCATTAAAAAAAGTTTTTGCAGACACCATATATGTTCTTGTGTGTGCATGTGCAATGTAGGACCATACGTATCGTGAACAACAATAGACTGGAAGCCAGTGCATTGCATTCTGCATACAGCAAATTTTAGATACAGCAAACCATTTTACTGGGTCCTGCAGAATTTGTAAATAATGAGAGTTGACTGTACTTTGAAAGTGTGATTTGGCTGTGCTGCATAGCTAACATTGCTGCAACCTTCTGGTTTGAGGAGCTCTTGTTAGGCACAGGTTTGGATGTTAACCACGTGTTCAATCTTGCGTGTCATAGTCATAGGAATGTGCACTGTTCCTCAACATTTATGAGGTGGTGCAACATTATAGGCAAAATCCTTAAAGGTTAACAGAAATTAAAAACATTTAGTTCACGTAAAGTATTTCAAACTAACAATGAATACGTAACCATTTCAAAAATATTTAATATTCAATGTTTAGCCCAGTAATTGTGACCCCAAAATGAATAAAAAGATCCTGCGTTTCCCCTCCCACAAAAAATCCCCTTTTGGCCGTTCGCGCTCCCAGGCTGATTTGATGACGTCATCAGCAGAACACCTACATGTGCAGTGTACATGTACATTGCATGATTACATGCAGTATCGCATGCTTGGGCGATAGACCATGTTGTGTTCGATGTACATGTAGCTTGGCCCACAGGCAAACATTGTCTCAGTTCAAGAAATACATGGTAGGACTGTCTTTTAATTTCTACAGGAAATCTGTTATTTTTTCAGGCTGCACCTTTCTGCTCGAAGTTCCTCAGACCAAATACAAAGCCCATTGTTAGTCATTTGAAAAAAATCAATCACAGTCAGTACAGCAAAGCAAAGGCGAACTCGATCTCCGATTAGTCTGATCTGCGGGCAAAATAAATATTGTTAACTTGTCATGTACACGTACAGCAGTACATGTGTGCGTTCAATTAACCTTTCACCTTTCGACCAACTTGAATTTTGTAGCAGTGAACCAATCCAAAAGCATATTTGAAACATCAACTCTTGTCATTAGTGTATTGAGCACTGCCCAATACAGCTTCCGTGAACGGTTGCACCAAGGCATTCGTCCTGGTTCAGCTGATTTGCATATTTCTGAGATTACTCTTTGCCTTGAATTTGAAACATGTAGGCAGGTATGTACATGTACGCGTGCAGGTACATGTATGTACATATACAGGTATGTACATGTACGTGTGCAGGTATTTACATGTACATGTACGTGTGCACGTATGTACATGTACGTGTGTAGGTATGTACATGTACGCGTGCAGGTATGTACATGTACCAGGTCAGTGAGCGGCTGGTGTGAGCCATGCTGCAGACGCCTTGACCAAGGCTATCCTGAGAGTTGCCTATTGAATGGTAGAATAAATATAGGTTTCCTGTTTTCTGGAAGGCGTAATCACAAGAAGTTTTAGTAATGCACTTTCAAGCGTGCGCATTGATTGCTGTGTAGCGAAGTGGCAGAGATGCCCTTAGGCCTCACAGGACATGCACAGGACTGACATTTAGAATGCAACAGGCTGGTCTCAAATTGCTGGCGCACTGTGGGGAAAAAATCATGTTTTGGTAATTAGCTGGCCCATTCAGGGTATGCGTCCAGCCATTGCATATTATATGCATGCCATGCTCACTCCCATGACCCCAGCTGACCCAGCACGCTGCACACCACCACTGCAGGCTGACACGTACATGTACTAGACAATGTTGCCTACACTTTGTCCTGTTTGCCTTTGTGAGCATGTATTTCATTTAAGAAATCAAAAACTTATCGCGTTATTCCAACCTGAAAAAGTTCTCACCTTGGTATTTATTCGCCTTGTTACTATCTCAGTTGCATTTTCTGGCCGATCACAATTGGTCAGTGCACAAATGCTTCCTTTTAAATTTTGAGAGATCCTTTCTTTTGCAGTGAGGTCTTGATTGATAATACAGACAACACAGTGTGCAGTCATATTGTAATTGTGCATCTTTCTTGTGACTCCAGCTATATGGAAGCATGTTACAGTTGTAGTAAACTTCAGAAGATGTCCAGTTTTCGAACAGACCTGTCCAGCATGGCATAAATAATAATAGTGTGTAGCAATGAAAACAGAATTGTATGACAATTCAAATTCAAAGATGTTATCAGCCAGATGTAACTCTATTTGCATTGTAATAACCCCATCCAGAACTGCACAAATCAAAGCACAGCACTGTTAAATACATGTACATACGTTCTGTACTTCAATATCTGATCTGCATAAGTTGGCATAGCTTGTTGTAGGAGTTCAGCATAGACTAACAGTAGACTAACGATGTGATGTATGTGACTGGAGACTTCAGCTGGAGATTAGGCCCATTAATCATAATCATGCTCAGATCTTAAAAATGTTAACATGTGCAGCTACCATTCTCACTTAAAACCATAACGTCTATAATTGGTAAAGCTATTTAATACCATTGTTTTTTCACTGGGGAGAGGAACATTCATTGCCATCCTGTAAAATTTGGCAAGTTGTAAGAATGGTAGAAAAGTTTTTACATGTAAACTGGTAAGATGTCTGCATCCCTCTGTCATACTCTCTCACAATTAAAAAGAAGGATGTGGGCCTTCTGAAAAGTTGTAGTGGGATGGTGGCACAGCTTTATTAAAGCTATCCAAATCAAGTCAAACTGGGAATTCCACAGCTCTCAGTTGCTTCATGTCTATCTTGGAGATAAGAAAATCAGGAATGCTTCGGCTACATGTAACTTTACCATCACACCGTTCCATTTTATGCTAGACTTTCATTTAGACAGTGAAGTCACATGCCAAGTTACTGTCGCAGCAGATGAAATATGTCATTTGATTAACTGGTGTTTCCAGACCACCAGACCTACACCAGCACCAAGGTCCAGAACTCAAGCCAAGAAGGTTCTAGAAGAAGATGAGGATGAAGATGAAGATAATGATGATGAGGATGAAGATGATGATGTTGATGAAGAAGATGAGATTGGGGATGGAGAGGATGAGGATGATAGTGAACCCGAGGAGCAACCAGCCAAAAGCTCACAGAGTAAAGGTTAGAAAGTAATAAACTAATTCAGGAACCATTATTAGGTGCCATAAACCTTAACAATCCTCAATCCTTCAAAATCCTTCGGGTAGTTTGGAAGATTTTGGAGGATTGAGGCTACATGGCAAAATTGCATTGCTAATTGTGAAGGATGCATTGTCTCAAGGTCTTGGGTTAGACCTTGTACTGTTAATGCTCTGCCATGCATTATTTCATGCTTCGATTATACATGAAATCATCCATACTGCTCCAGGATACCATTCACACTGCCTCAACACAATGAGTAGAATTGCCGGAGGATTTTGAAGGATTGAGGCAGTGGGCATCCCCCCCACAGAATATGTTCAAGAAATATCGGAGGATTTGGGAAGACTGAGGCTGTATCCATTTTTCATAGGGGGCAGTTAGAGGATTTTGAAGGATTTAGGGTGTATCTTAGCCAAAAGGGCAGAGGCGGTTCGGATTAATTAGGAGTTACCCGGCTCATGCGTGCAATAGTTTGGATATGCACTCTCAAAGTACCTCTTGACCAGAAGGGTTTGTCCGACATACCAAATTGCATTGCTTTACATTGAAAAATGCTTGCAGTGTATGTGCAAGTTGGGCACTGACTCGTTTATTATGATAGGTTGTTGCTTTATAAGTCATTTCAGTGACATTAATGTGCTCAGAAAGGAATCATTCGGACATTCAAAAGAGTTGATATTGACAGTGTAAGGCTTTATTGTCATATTTTATCTCTTTGCTTCAGACAAGGCAAAGACTCAGCGTAGCAGCAGGACGTCTAACGAGGATGGTGACAAGGAAGATGCAACCAGGACCTCCGAAATGACCAAGAAGTCAACAGCTAGCAGTAAAAAGCAAATCACGCAACATGAAGAGGAAGATGAAGAAGATGAGGAGGAGGATGACAATGAAAATGATGATGGACAAGGAGGTATTGTCTAACCGTTTAATCTATAAAAAGTATACAATTCATAAAGAAAACACCTGGCATCCAGCCATGCAAATGCTTTGGCCTTCTATCCTTGATTCATCTCATAATTATTGTTACATACACCAGAATTTTTCATCACAAACAAGGGAATGCAACTGAACAAATCTGAAGTAAAAATATAAATAGGAATTTATGTATTTTACATGTTTTATTTTGAAATCTCGTGAGAGATTCTGTGAGATTCCAGCCACGCGCATGCGCAGTCATATTGGCACGGTGTAGTTTCAACGATAACCTTGAAACAATTTTCTATACTTTTATCCACAATCACTGAAGTAATCTTCGGCTTGTGAGAACCTTTGTTTGCCTGTTTTCACTTTGTGATAATCATGGGCACAGCAGGAAAATCAAAGTCTACAGAGACTGTCGGGAAACGACTGACAAACTCGAGCAAAAACACACGGTCAAACCAGGCAGCTTGCACCAGTACTAATGTACTCACATGTATAAGCTCGACGTTGTCACAACCAACACACATGTAACATGCACCGATGCCTTAACCACGGTAAGTGCAACGATGTTGCCGCCACGCACGCCAAACAAGACAACGAGTTCAAGCAAGCCGGACCTGTCAAAGCCAAAAAAGGCACACTGTAGCAAGTCTTCGGACGATGCAGCTATAGCCAGAGAAACTTGAGGAACTTATGAGCAAGCAGGTGGAAGAAATAGAGTTCAAGAAATTATCATGGGTACATTGGCACCTTACATGGTGGCGGCGGCCGACGATGAGAACGGTATCTACAATAACTATACAGGCACGGAGAATACCAATGAGGAGGTCAGTTTGTGTGACCAAACCGATGATGACATGGTTTCTGAACCTGTCTGTGCTACTGGACTAATGTCCACAAACCAACAAAACCCAGACTCAAAACCACAGGCACAGCAGGCTGACTCCAACCAGACTGCAACACCACAGGCGTTGCCTACGGACCAAGGGTTTGTTCCATCTGGGGTTGGTAACCCTATTAAGGAGGACATAGCGAACCGCCTAACTTTCCATCTGAAAGACAAAAATCTGGATGACACTGCAGACACATATCAGTGCCTCAGTAACTGTGGGGCTTTAGCAGTGCCCAAAGTCCACCCACAAATCTGGAACAATATCTCAGCTAAAACCCACTCCAGAGACCAGAAGCTTCAAAGGGTGCAGAAATCCCTCATAAAGGGGGGTCACTGCTCTCACTCGTGCCTTTAAGGGTTGATTAAACGCCGAACAGGAAGATGGTCTTGCTCTTTTAGCCTCGGCTAATTTTGAACTGAGTAGTTCAAGTAGTGCAAGGAGCTCATCAGACCAGACCTGAACCAAAAATATGCAAACCTGTGCAGACCGTCAACAAAGGTGACACAGTGGTTGTTTGGCATTGACCTGGGAACACAGCTAAAAGAACTCCAGGAGGAGTAGAAGGTCATGATGGGGGTGATGCGCTTCGCACGCCAACAAGGAGGGGGTTTTCTTTCACCCTTATGCAAACAAACGTCTCCAAGCTGCAGGCTGGAAAGCAGGTGGACATACCTCTGGAACTAAACAAAGCTCCTTTTTTAGGGGGAGTCACACCCAGCTGAAGCTGAAACAGTTCCCATGCCACCGCACCAACCAATATCAAGGGAGGCAACACACCCAAGGCCAACAAAAGAACAGCCAGGCCAAGAAACCAACCGAGATGAGTACCTTGCAGGCCGGGCAAGCCCTACCGCAGTCCAGGTAGGTATACACACCAAAGGGTTGGAGATAAACTGTAATATGCATTTACAGATAAATTATGTACATATAGGTGGTCAATTGACAAAAGGTGAAAAGTGTGTTCGACTATTTGCGCAAACTGTCTCCTGCCCCCGCACTCTCACTAAAGGAACTGACATTGAAACTAATCATGCTTCTGGAATTGGTTACAGCATAGAGAACACAGACGTTACACAAACTACACCTTGACAAGATGCAGTTGAAAGCCAGTTCACCATCCTGGATCTGCTCAAGCAAAGTAAACCAGAGAACACTGGAATGATCATTAAACTTAAAGCTTAGTCCCGGACAGCCGACTGTGTGTGTACATCTACCTTAAACACGACCTGGCATGAACCAGTTCGCTTAGGAATTGGGTAGAAGCAAAGAAAACCAACATCTGATCAGTTACAGGCTCCCACATGGTGCTGTCAGTAAGGACTCAGTCGCAAGATGGATCAACATAGTGTTACATCAAGCAGGTGTGGACACATCATGCTTCAAGGCTCACTCCACGTGAACAGCTGCCGCATCCACTGTAAACAGAGTGCAAGTGCCTATCACTGACATCCTTCGGACTGCAGGTTGGTCTTCAGAGACCACCTTTCAGAAGTTCTACAACAAACCACTCAGTGCACCCCAGGAAATGGACATGCCTTGCTTAACAGTTGTTCTTATAAAAATGACTCAAATGGAATGCCTGTGCATAGTTCCATCTGTATATTGTTATTGACCTGATGTGTTTTATATGTTGGCAGTCCCTAGGGTAATTCAAGAGCAGTACCATGGTTCAGTGCTGATGATGTACATGTACGTCATAACCATTTGTGAGGAGGCAAATATTGGCCTGTTTAGCTTCATTGAATATTGGACGTGTATTTTGCAATTCCAGTTATGTACTATATTTGTTCATGTCTTCACTTGGAATTGCTTGATTGATACATCATGTTACAGAAGGCAATGCTTATACAAGTGTGTTAATTGGCCTTGAACGCCAAACAAGTATACAGTGACCAAGACTTGATAGGAGCCCAGGTACATGTAGGTAGTTAAAGACAGTTGTCATCAATGTTTGGTGCTAGATAATGAAGCAGCTACTTTTAAGCTTGAAAGAAAAGCTGTGTTTTCTCAAACAGTTTGGTACAGATGAAAGCCTCGTGTTGGAGTTTAACAGCTTTATTAAAACACTACTGTACAGCAAAATCACATGAACTTGGCTTTAGGAAGTGTTATCTTATGCCAAAGTTAGTTAACGTTCTGGAAGAATCTCTCTATACAGACTCCATACTGGATATTCAGCCAGTGCCTTTTAACATCTCAAGGAATCTCTTGCGATATTTTGAAATAAAATGAAGGGATTAAAGAGCAACTCAAAGGAAAACATGTTTTCTCTCATTTTATCTGTTCAAATAAATATAGCAGCATCCAAATTGAACGCAGTGTCATTTGTCTTCAGAGCTCAACTATAACAAGCTAAAAAAATCCTTGCCCTGTGTTCGTAGTGGATAAACCCCTGTGCATGTGAAACAATGCATATAGCCATAGTTTGGCATGCACAACGGTTTATCCACTAAGAACACAGGAAGAGGGTTTCCTTCGGTTTCTCTGTTTTCTCAGAATGTTGCAATCTACATTCAACATGTTCAGAATTTGCATCTTGGCATGAACAGAAAAAAAGCCCTTTTTAGCTTGTTATAGTTGAGCTCTGAAGACAAATGACACTGCGTTCAATTTGAATGCTTCCATATTTATTTGAACAGATAAAATCAGAGAAAACATGTTTTCCTTAGAGTTGCTCTTTAAATGAGAACTTACCTGATTGAAATTTAATCCCAATTGTATGGGAAAGGGTGAGCGAGAGATTACGTGCCCTGCTCTCCCGCCCTATTTCTCTATCAGTAGGACAAGTTCTCATTGATCCCTTCAGTGGTAACTGGGATAAGGTTTTTCATCTGACCTCATATCCGGGTTTTCAAATATGACTGTGCATGCACGTGGCTGGAATCTCACATTATCTCTTGCTCGCCCTTTCTCATAAAATTGGGATTAAATTTCAAACAGGTAAGCTCTCATTTAATCCTGTCATTTTCACAATCTGTTGAAAAATTATATTCTTAACCTCCCAGAGTGTATGTAATATCAGTGAAATTGGAAAATCAAGGATTTTTAGGGTTAATCAAATTAGCCCCTCATTCATTAGAGAAAACTGTGCATACACCAGGATCCAAAAACAATTGATGCATCCAAACACAAAATCATGAACATCAAATATCTTATACAGTTAACAACTGTCTCCTGTGCAGGGGTTTGTGGGTTTTGTACACCAACTCACCTCAAGTGCAATTTGCCCCCACAGGTGTATAAAACACCATGGACCCTGTCACAGCAGGTGTCAAGTGGTTTGATATACATGTACATGTGCCATGGTCATAGATTACACTGGAACCTTCATATGTGAAATATGTGGATATATTTTTATTGCATGACAAAGTGAGACACTTGTACAGCAAATTAGATGTTACATTAGAAGGAAAATCATTGTTGAGTTGTAGCAAAACTGCTGTCGTTTGGTTCTTTTATGATTTTTGTGGTGGATGGGGGAGGAAGAGGGAAAAATAGGGAGAAATTTATGATTTATAAGAACTGTTTTTCAGAGAAAGCTGGTATTCACAATGCACTTGTTTTTTGTCAAGTGGTTGAATTTTAAGACATCATTTGTATGACTTTTTTTGAAAACATTGACAAGATTGAAGAGCAGATGAGATGAGACAATGACATGAGCATGACCGTAAGTCTAGCATAGCTGGGTGCACGACCGTAAGTCTAGCATAGCTGGGTGCATGACCGTAAGTCTAGCATAGCTGGGTGCATGAGCTAAAGTCTAATAACCTGGGGATTTCGGTCATGGTCAGAGTAAAGAGAATAACGTGTGAATGCTCACATGCTTCAATGACCCTCACACAGCATATCTGCAGTAATTATTGCACAGTACCACTGCGGCTATCCATCCTCGTACCCAAGATTTAAAAATAATTACAACGCAGTGGACACGTCAGGTCAACTATGGGAAAACCCACCATTATCCATTTTTTTTGTAGCCCAGCAACATTGCTAATGCAATCAATCATAAATGATACTCGCATGCTTGTGGCATATCGTGATCAATTGACAACCAATAAAATTTCATTATCTGTGACCATGGTATAACAATTAAGCATGTACTATTACCTACAAAGGTACTGTCAGTTTGTTTAGAAAATATTCATTTTGAAATGAGATGAGAACGATTAAAGGAAGTCTGCCTTTTAATTTTTTAATTTTGTCAGATGATAGAAAAACCAAAATACACTCAAGTAACGGATTTGAGAACAAAGAAATTGAAAAAAGCCCAGAAGCCAAGAAGAAGGGAAAGAGGAAAACAGAAGCAGAAGAAGATGAGGAGAATGATAAGGAGAAGACAGAAGATGGAGAAAAGGATGATGGTGAAGAAGGAACAGGAAGAGGCCAGCAGTCAGATGAACCCAAGGTACAAACATTATTGAACAATGTTAGTAGTATTATGCATACAACATTCAGTTGTCAGCATGAATCATTTTCATTCATTGTTTCATTTGTCTCATCACGTGGCTTGTATGCTTGGTCTCATTACAAATCTGTTAATACCTCCACAGAGCATGCCACACCAGTATGGAGGTAATCCATACATGTAGCTTTACATCTGAAATGTACATGTACACTCACTGAGTAACAAAATTGATAGCTGAAAAAATGTCACATAGGCCTACAGTATTATATTCTTCCTGGAGACAATTTTGTAAGTTATGCAACAAATCAGTTTGTTGTTGTCATTACACAGTGATGCAACCAAATGGGAATACTCATGATTAAATGCAGCATTGCTTTGGTATCCTAGAAAATGTGTTTGATCTGTTAACTGCAGTCGGTTGTGTAGCAAGACCATTTTCAAGATGTATTTTGCATTGGGGAGATGTTAATTTATATAATGGATTTTGCCCTTACCCAACGTATATTAAAAAAATACATTATACATCCCCCCAACGCCCTGCTTCACCTGACTCGGACCAGCCAGCCGACCCTGGCAAGCTCTGTGGTCGAGTGATTAAGACGTCTGCACTAGTAAGCAGGAGGTCGTGGGTTCGAGTCCCAGTCGAGTAAGCTTATAAATATTTTCGCAAGCTCTTGGACAAGTACTGAGCATACAATGTTTATTAATATATACGTTGGGCAAGGGCAACTTAAAAGGGCAAAATACATATATAAACAAGACCATTTTGATGGATAGAGGGGTTAAATGTGAAACAGAGCATGCAACACATGTGGTGAAAGGCAGACAGGGTTCTATAAAATCACAATCTTCTTTGTGGCAGCATTGTTCTGATTGGCCCCAAAAAGGAATGCTCGTGGCTACAGAATTTCTGAAGTTCTCATAATATTAGTAAAGGGCTCTTTATTAGCTAATGTCAGTAATATATTGAAGGCTAAATAATAGCACAAGGGGCATGGATGCTGAATGCAAAATAATTCTCTTATACCCTCCCGACCCTGCAGTACACTTGTACTTCTGTTTCGATGTTACTCAGAACAGAAATCAGTTTTGTTGCATTTGCTGGCTGACTTGGGTTGAGTTTGGGCCACCCACTGTAAGTCTCTCTTTTGGTGATATTTTGGTGGGGCATCTCAGCTACATGTACAAGTACATGTACATGTATAGTAAGAGGGGCAGTGACAGCACTGTCAGTCATGGTCGTCGTTCATTTCAAGTCCTAGTTGGTTAAATCTTACATGAAACTTAGTGTCCAACTGCAACAAAAGTCATTTCCTAAAATCATGATCAAAATGGGAACTTTTTAACATATTTTAAGAGATCTCATAGATCTTTTTATTAAGAAATTAGGTCTGAACTTAACTCTAGCCCTTGTTGGAATTTGTGAACTTTGTGAGATTGATTTGGATTTTTTTTTCATACTATTTCTGTTCGCATATGGACTCATGTTCTGTCACTCCATCATGCATGTTCCCTTCCATGATCTGTAAGTTTCATGAAATTCATTCATTTTTTTCAGAATCATGACATTCTAAAATTAAGTTTCATTCTGCAGTTGCTTTTGTATGTACTGTGTACAACTTCTTAATTTTTCTTTTTCGGTGCAAAATGGTTCATAAATAATTAGTTAGGGTTAGTATCAAGGGTGGATCCATCCTACCTATGTTGGTGAAGGTTTATTCTAATAATTTGGATTATTTCAACTTAAAACAACAAGTTTACTCTTTACTCTCCTTCCTATCTCAGGCCTGGCAATTCTGGAAGAAGAAAACACCCACTTCCAAGGTGGACAAGTCCTCCAGTAGTGTTTCCAGTGAAGACAAACCAGCAAACCAGAACAAATCAAAGACTTGTTCCATTTTATAGCAGGCAAATTTCAAGTAATTGTGGAACAAAACCATTTAATTTCTTTTCTGTGAATAACGTACACACTGCATTACTGCAACAAGCAGTATAAACTGGTGATGGATGCTTAGATCATTACAGGCAGCCACTACTCAGAAAAAGTAAACCCGGTATTTTATCATTATTTTGAAAAGACCACCAGTCACTTTCCCAATGACAAAACTTTCATTAACCCTAACCTTCCGCAACCACACAGAATTAAACAGAAATAAAGTGTTTAATTCTGTGGGGATAGGTCTGGTCGGCCCAAACAGCTGTCTTTTGCATTGGGTTTGGCATACCTAAGAAAATTGAAGTCCAACAGCCTCTGTGCACAAATTCCCATATGGGTGTTTAACTTTGTGTGAATGGGGAAGGTTAGGGCCAGCAACCCTTGGGGCTAAGGGTTAATGTCTCATCAGGATGGACATTACCTTATTCCTTTTCCTGGGTATTTTTGCCAGGAATATTTCTGAATTCTACCTCTGTGCTTGATTGTAATGGCATCTATTTTTACATGTACCTATACTGTGAAGCCTCTTATAAACAAGAAGGGATCCTACTTTTAAAAATCCTCAAAACCTTCAAGTGGATTTTGTGGTCTTCTTGAGTACTAATGAAGACTTTTATTCAGCGTAAACCACTTGCTGCCAGGTGCTTTTAAAAATGCAATGCACACGTGCGGGATACTTTCAAGACTTTCAGCTTTCAACATTCTTCAAAAATTCATCATTTCATTTAATGTACGTTTACATTTACACAGACGACCGTTTGGTGGCTACTCTAAGTTGATTGGCAACCTTCATTGACCCAAGTATTTCAGCCAGGCCTGCTGCCCTGTAAAGAGAGCCCAGAACTATGAGGTGTTGCGTAATTTCCTTTGTCCCCAGTGAATGGGAGTGGCGTCTTTTCAAACGTGGCTGGATTAACATGCAGGGGTGCTGTGTCGCTCATCAATGGGGACCTGGAGCACTTTTGTCCGCGGGCTTGCTCTTCCCGAAACAGTGATACACTGTTTAAAAACAGTGACAGATTACCTTCGAAAAATGTAAGCCGAAAATGATGGCAATTCCCAGCAACAGGTCTTTTGTTATCATGGACCGGCTCTTTTGTCCCATTTTGGGCACCCCCACTCTGCGTATAAGCCCACAGTGCTCGAAAAGGGGCTCCCCAGCAGCAAGTAAGAAATTATGCAAATAACCATGTATACAAAACGTTTGAGCTGGAGTCCTAGGAGATAGTTGCTGGGGATCTTTTCTTTCCATTATTTCCACATTTGTAACTTCATGCCCAGTTTTAATGACATCATTTTGAGTACAGAATGTAGGGTAATGAGCATAGTATTCAAACTTTCATATTCCTTTGCAGTTTACCCTTGCATTGATGCACTGTTAAGATTGCCCAGTCATTCATACACTGGATTTTTTATGTTCAATTTGTTATTTTTACAAGTTTCTAATCATAATGATTTCACTGCAAGTAATACTTGATGTTCAGTTTTTTTCACTTGAAATCAGTAACTTGATCAGAAATGCACAGACGACTGAGATTCTTGTGTATATTGTCTTCATTTGTTATTTTGTATATAAGGACAAATCTTTAAATGAACTAATTTATTTTTATGAGCGCCAATTTCAAATGTACATAATTTTTGGGGACTTGCTGTGGTAAGGTAGCCAGATTTGACTTAGTACTGAATGCAATGTCTCAATGAGTTTAAGTAGTGTCTGTGTTTTTAAACGTGTTTTTGTTCATAAACATGAGAATGTTTTTGAAATTATACCCTTCAAAAGTTGCATTAGTTGTTTGAAATGCTATTGCAGATTTAACACATCACACAGATTTTGTTTCTCAATTGGTACAGAGAAAGTACCACATGGTATTTGCTATTTATAAGATGTTTTGCCATGGAAACACTTCTTAAAAACAAGTACCCAGTACGTGTATACAACTGTGTTGAGAAAATAAATTCTCCATCTTCATGTGTACTCATCTACGATATACATGTACTTGTTAAGAGTTGGAGTGGATGGAAACATTTTCATTGATTCAAAGGGAAGTTTGGAAAGGTACAAGTGCAAATTGAAAAGAGGTAGAGTTGCAAGATATTTCAGTTTAATATGATATCTCTGAACATTTGCACACTGGGTGTGAGGTGTGGTGTGTGCTTTGTTATGGTAAAGCTTCTCCTTGGGGAAATAAAATGTACAAGCAAACAACTCGGTCAAGAGCTATGCCTATCCCATGTTTGGTTTGGCAATGATCACATGTTAACTTAAATGTTCTCATCCATGTCACAGCTTTTTAGTAAATGGGAGTTCCAGTCTCACAGTTAGCATGATGCTCCACAGAAAATGGTGGATGATAAAATGTAAAACACTGTTCCATTTAACAGGTCAATGAATGCAATCTGCTTTTGACTAGACTGCCATGTGAAGCTGGTATTGGGGCACAGAGGAGTGATGTGGGGATTTGTTTTAGGGGTTGCATAAACAAGTACGTGTAATGAATGTTTCCATTTGCACAATGGAAAGAATGTAATTCATTCACGTATCAGGGACTGGTGGAATGAAGGGCATTCCATTTGTTGCTTCAGTTATGAAGTTTACTTTGCTATCCATTGCACTCTTAAGCATTACTTGTGCAATGCGCAAGTTATAGGGACAAAGAGGTGTCCCCATAACGTGATAGTTTTGGTCCCTAATGTCTATGTTTCAACGTGTAGTCCCCACAAAATCTGGTGACAAGTATGTGTACTTTCATATATAACTGACCCACTGTGCAGTGTATACATGTGTATACTTGTAATTAGCTCTGTTCATTTCTGTGATAAAGTGATGGAATGTTTTCCCAGTCCCGAGTCAGTAACAAGTTTGCTGCAATGCAGACACCAAAAGGGGTGTGGTTGTAAGATGGGTGGACAAAAGTACCTTTGCATCTAAATTTTCAAGTCTGTGACCTTGCATTGTGAAAAAGAATTGGAAAAAGTTAAATGAAGACTGTCGCTTGAAACTACATATTTGATGTGTTAATTTTTATTTACTCGGAAACAAAAACCCACTAAATGCAAGATTTTCTACCACTTGGGCATTTTTTTATGGTTTATCCTAAATGAAGATGTACAAATTTTTTCCACTTTTTCAATTTTTATGTATTAATTTTTAATGCCAGTGGTTTAAAACTTGGGGTATCCTCAATTGGTTCAGACAATTGTGCACCCAAAATGCATGGCCCCACAAAGCCACAGACTATATTTGAAGGTTTTGGCAACCTGCTGAAATTGTTGGGTTATTCCCGAAACTTTCAGATATGTCATTCAGTTTATAACAGGCTTACCTGTATTGCAGGTTGTACAGCATGAACTTCTCACCCCATCATTACCAATACAACAAACCCTCTCATTTGTCATGTGAACAACTGTGTGGAGAATAACAACTTTGGTCTGTGTGATTTGCGAAAACAGTGGTGCTGTACGTCATTACAATATTGCCAATTTTTGGTTTCTTTTTAAAAAGAAATTTGCTTCCAGAAATGATTATGTGTGACAGACAGTGCCTCATATGTAACCTTTTGTTGTGGACAGAATCCAAGAGTTTTTTCAAATAGGTAGTATTAGAGTAGCTTCCACGAGTTACCTCAAGTACGTACATCTTTGTACCCCATAGCATCATTTGGTTGACACAGCACGAACAACCATCCCAGGTCACCGTCAGGGGCGCCCTATGCACTTGAATACATTCACAATGATGCCAAATGATCCTTGAAAGTTTGTATGTGTGGAAGTGGTATTTCATACTAATTTTATCAACTGCTGTGATATCTTAAGAATTATTGATCCAGTAAGCCCCACCCACTGAGCACATGGCCACTTAACTTGCTCTTCTCCAGTTCCACACTACATTTTCCAGCTGCACACATCAGCCTCAAGTTCATGCATGCCAGACTTTTGTGCATACATGAAGGACATAAATCATGGCTCTGAGTGGTCAAAACACATTGAGGCAGGGCTTAATGGATCAGTCCTGGTCTACCAACAGTTAGCTCACAAACTGGCCTCTCGAATAGTCATCAAAACATCTTCTGAAAATTGTAAAATCTACCTCATCATAACCGGTTCACACAAGAATTACTTCTTGTGCGACTCTGAGATAGTCAAGTTATGCCAAACCCTTGAAACATCGTTTTCTTATACATGAAATGAGGTGAGAAGTACACCAAGAAGTGTCAAACAGGCACTATTAATGTGAGTCATTGTATTTACATTGCATGAAGTCTGTGGGTAACCAGTGCACATGGTGCACTACATATACACATGTAAACAGGTATAAACTTTGTACACTGTAGCAATATAAGCATTGGTTCCTGCTGTATATGTAAAGAATATCAGCTGGATTTAATATGCAACATCCTCTCACCCATTACAAAAATCCTTTGCACAAAATACCACTTTATTTTCAGTAGGTCAAGTTCTGGGTGAGAATGGCAACTTACATATGTACGGTACATCATGTGTGAATGTGGTGATCGATTACTCCTACATGTACACCACAACACATTTCAACACTAAAATGCCATTCACTTTGGAATCATAAAATTTCATACAACTGTTGGTTGGCAGAAACTGAGAACATTGCTATCCTTGCTAATTAGGCTTTGATCTAACTGCATAATTTGGTTGCAAAGCCTACTATCAGAAGTACATGTACATGTAAAACACCAATCTTCACTCTTCCAAAAGGTTTTCTACTGGAGTAAAACACTGCACCACAAATCATTTGGGTAAAACACATTCGTAAGAATCAACTTTTGACCAAGGCATCACAAAATTATTGGGAATAAAATAAAGCTATTACAACATAAATATATCATTAGTTGGTTGAAGACAAAAGTTTAGCTTTCACCATAAAGAGTTTTATTACTTGCGTCTAACCAATAGCTGTATGGCCGAAGAAATAGTTTTTTTCTGTTCAAAGTGATGATCCACAATAGATGCAGCCTTTTCCCCTCCTCCATAGTTGGATTGTACAAACAGTGGGGTACCATTTTGGTTTTTTTGTCTTCATGTACATATTCCTCCATTTGCCTTTGCGCCCTTTTCATTCCTTGCTGCTCCCCATTTGCCAAGATGTTTGCCAACGTTACTGTTCTCCACATCTACTTGTTGCCCCTATCTGCCTACATGTAGGGTCCTTGCTCTAGGCAACAGACTCAGACGCAATCTAAGTTGACAACAAACAACGTTGTGTCCATATTCTGCTATCATTGTTCAACATCCATTTCACTGGGATCTACTTGTATTGCCCTCAGTAAAAGATGAAGCTGCCTGCAAAATTGTTGAAGCAGTGCAGCAATAGAGGGCACTACTGTAGCTCTTGCAGAAGAAGAAAAAAGATTGACGCGCATGTTCGAAATCGACGCGCACTGACCAGAAATGAAAGACTGTTTTGGCCTAACATGAAAAACTTGCATTTAGCATTTCCCTTCACCTTGAACAACATGCAAATTATAATTTCACTTTTAAAATTAATTCACATCAATGACAAACAAAATTGAGATGGGGCACATAAAATTTTATATATCAAACTTTTTATCTAACTGTACTGTATGGGTATTGATATTCCAGGGAAGTTGGATTTAAGAAATAGGGAGTTTCAAAACTCAACTTATACCCAAATAATTCTCACTTTGAAAATTCTGCTGCTGAGAATTCACAAAATAATATACTTTACACTTTGCCTATTAAGTGTAACTAATAACCGAAACTCATACAGAAAAATATACACTTGATCAATATAAAACTTTAAACAAAAGAAAATTCAGGGAGTCTTACCCAATGAAAACCAGTTTTGTTTGTAATTATTTCAATCATAATTTTCTGAACCAAACTTCAGAAAAAGTATCCTTGAAAACTTTACAATTACATGTGCATAACACTATAAAATGCACATTCAACGACAATGAATCTTTATACTTGAACTCTGTATAACAATGTATCCACATACAGCACAATCCAACTTGTGTATTTTGTGGCCCAATGAATGATTCTACAAAGCCTGAATGAATCTCATCATGCATTATTTGTCCAATGCATGGCATTACCGCACCACGGTGAAACATTCCATTCTGGATGTACATGTAACTGGATTTATCAATGTTCTCTCCACCATTTGCAGGGTCACAAACTGAATGAATCTTCTTACAAAATATTTGATGCAGAAATTTACTTTCAATTTATTTAGGTGATGCAGAGGTTTCTAGGGATTTATTAAACTCTTGTGTACATGTAAGTTTCACAGGATAATTTCATGAGCTTAAACACTTCATACTGCGGTATTTTTCAATGTTGATGATGCTGGGCCGACATGACTATAATTTTTTCCGTTTTCAAAATCCTTAAAAATTCATCATTTCATTTAATGGTCAATTATAGCCACACCAAGTAATCTTTAGGCGCGGCACTACTCTAAGTTAACAGTTGACCTTCATTGACGCCCAAGTATTTTAGCCAGGCCAGCCGCCTTGTAAACAGAGCCCAGATTGTGCGGTGTTGTATAACTGTCTTTTGTTCACGAACCTGGCTCAGTGCACTG